AAACATACGTGTTAACAGGTGGCAGTGAACATTTGGATGACGCACACTTGTTAACAGTTGGCAGTGAACATTTGGGTAAAAACATACGTGTTAACAGGTGGCAGTGAACATTTGGATGACGCACACTTGTTAACAGTTGGCAGTGAACATTTGGGTAAAACACACTTGTTAACAGTTGGCAGTGAACATTTGGGTAAAACACACTTGTTAACAGTTGGTAGTGAACATTTGGATGAAGCACACTTGTTAACAGTTGGTAGTGAACATTTGGATGAAGCACACTTGTTAACAGTTGGCAGTGAACATTTGGGTAAAACACACTTGTTAACAGTTGGCAGTGAACATTTGGGTGAAAACATACGTGTTAACAGGTGGCAGTGAACATTTGGATGAAGCACACTTGTTAACAGATGGTAGTGAACATTTGGGTGAAAACATACGTGTTAACAGGTGGCAGTGAACTGTGTAAAACACACTTATTAACAGTTGGTAGTGAACATTTGCATAAAATAAACTTGTTAATAGTTGGCAGCGAACATTTGGGTAAAAACACACTTGTTAACAGATGACAGTGAACATTTGGGTAAAACACACTTGTTAACAGATAGCAGTGAACATTTGGGTAAAACACACTTTTCAACAGTTGGCAGTGTGTAACTCACTCTAGCACATTATTGTCAAGGCATGGGTACATTGGTGCTTGCCATGACAAATATGAGAGGTATATTGTCATGTGTTGCATAAATAAATTGAACTCGCACAAAATTCATCACACGGTGTTCATTTCATAGATATATAATAAATAAACAAGCGTTTGTGGTGACTTTGTTCATTTGGGTCACACATTCCTTCTACAGAGAAACTCTAAACGTCATGGAAATCCCTGATGAAATATCTGGGCTCGTACAACTTAGACAAACTTACCGTTTGGGTGAATTTCTCCAAAAATATGGTTACAAGGATCCAAATGTTGTTTTAATTTGTTGAAACCACAAGTGTGTAATAGAATTCTGGACAGAAAACACATGTTGGTCAGCTCAAACTCCTACAAAATGAATGTAGACAAAACACAAAGGCTTCAATATTCTCAGAAAAGCAGTCAGTTTTTTAAGCGGTTGATTGATGGTGTGAGACCGACTGCGGTGGTACATAACACCACAGTATACCAAAAGCGCCCTCTAGGACAGGCACGACATCTTTTTCCACCTATTGTCTACTATTAAAATACATACAGCGGGTGACGTCACGGTATTCCGCGTCGGTCCTAATAACAACGTTTCTGAGTGGCAAATGAACCCTCCCAACTTGTCTAATATTTGGAGTTATCGGTATTTCATATAACCACGAACATTTTAGAACGCCCATTGGCAAATCAGGCCATGGAACTTTGACGATTAAATTGTCGTTGCCGGTGTCACATGGGTCATACAAGATAAGAATCCTCCTCGTATTACGCAGGGAATAGTTAGAGCCTACATCGCCATCTCGGCCGAGAGTCGTCTGTATTCATTCTATGTTAAATCGTACATAGAAGTTCTGCATACTTTATTTGTGAAACATCTGCGTCTTCACATGCTAAAACTTGACTTGCGTTCTTATTGACTAATTTGTCAGCCCACTGCATTTTAAACTGTCACGGCTGTGTTAACGAGTGTAATGTTATGCTGTGTAATATTGAAGTTGAGTTGAATAATATTGTAGCTACATTGTCACAAACTTAATCTTGAGTTCACCAAAGAATACTATGCCTCACTGTGAGAGACAAGTTCAAATCTGAACGAATATAGTGATAAGTAACATTTTCAAGCAGTTCGTCATAATAGAATAAAAAATAACATGAGAAGAACGGACATATGATTATTAATTTATATAACAATACATATCAATTGCTCACACAACTCAAGATGGAACTAAGTACTCATTACTAATACATACAATAAATATGTTAAACTTACAAAAAAATAACTCGTCATCAACACTCGCCTGAACATTCCTAAATAAATAAATACAGTAATTGCTCATTTATCTTGCAGCAGGGTTGAGTTGACTTTTCAGAACTCAGAACCTCGGAACCCAGAACCTGGAGTGCGCCCTCAAACGAAGAAATTAAGGTTTATGAATTAGTTCTTGTTTTTTATGGGAAAAGAAAACATTCTGAACTTAAATATAATATTTGTTTAGACCAAACAAGACACTTCGTGATGGGCTTCTTTCGCAGTCAGTAATATTTACAAAAATGTGTGTTCACTATTTTTTATAAACTGGCTTGGCAATTCCCATCACCAATTAGACTTTAGATTTTTTTCAACAATTCCAAAATCACTCTCGATAATTTTGTTTACTTCACATTTGTACTATGATTACATTTGAAGTTTTAATAATTTTATTGGGTATACATATTTTAATGCATACGTGTACACTCACAAAAATACCCCCGAAATAAGAGAATTTAGAATATAGCCTTGCCAAAAATGCATTATTTTTATTTGTCTAATATTTTATATGGAAATCCTAATGAGATTTAAAGTTCAGTTCACAACTGACGGTTTTGCAATATTAGAGCTTGTCAACTTGTCTATGGAGGCTGCAAGATCATTCTTATAAATATTGTATTCACTACAATTATTTTGTATTTACATTGACCATGAGGTCCACAGTATATTTTTCTTACTGATGTGACTACAGTTGACTGTGTGATGTACTCGGCAGTTTTTGTTCTTTTGTCGATTGTTGTCATGAGTTGTTTGTTTTGTGTTCATGGAATTTTGTACAAAAAACAACGGTCAAATACGTATATTATTTCCACTTTGCAGTATATCGTAGACAGTATTTGTATACTTTGCTCTCCACAGTATCCAGCTCAAATGTCGGATTTTTCGGAAGCATGAGATTGTAATGTAAATTTCATTCATTAATGTTGTACGATGACGCTTTCTCTGAGTCCCATGTTGACTATGTTCCGGCCCGTTTACTTACTGTGAGTGTCTGACAATGCGACCAAATAAACGTCAGAATAGTAAAACAAAAAAGCAACCTAAAAATTAGTTGCCCGTGTCAAAGAGAGCCGCAGAGCCAAAACAGTCTGTCAGCCGTCGCCGTCCACAGCAGCGATATAATTTTACACATCGAAATTGAGAATCGCAAGTGTAGACATATTGCATAGAAATGAACATTAAATACAGCTATACCACCCAGCAATCGAATCATCAATCTTCATGAGTGATGTAACTGGTATTTCCATCTATTCCCACTATCCTACAACGATCGAGGGAATGTTGTCAAATTCGCGCGTGTGCGTATTTTCGTACAGTGGTGTAAACATTGCTACAGTCAAAGACACGCTGAACAGGAAGTCTATTCTGGACTAGTACCATTTTTTGGAGAGCAGAGGACCATTTATACAAGGGACGCTCCAGTAAGAAATTGTTAAAATTGTCCGATTGGCATATCCAAATCTTGTATTGAAACAGAAGATATTCTTTATTCACTAAATAAATGTTACGTTTCTAGACTTACAACGAACTCGAAACAAAAGAAACAGCCCGATCCCAGCAACCTGCGTTCTTGAAAATAGACTCTTATCGCCCTTGCGTTTCCGAGCGAAATTAAGCCAAAAACGACCGATTAGCCCCAATGTCTTCGTCTGGGGCGCACTCCAGGTTCTGAGTTCTGAAAAGTAAACTCTACCCTTGCAGCAGCATATGAAATGTGCAAATTAAAGTAGACGGCACAACCACCTGTGGGCACAACGAGTGTGACTTTCACAAACAATCAAGAATTATTTGGAAACACGACAAGCATACACAGGAATTCAAATACGAATGTAAGCGCCCTCATTGGATGTGAGTGAAACGCCTTTCTTCAATAAGGGCGCCGCCAAACGATAACTCGCCGTGACTGGGGGACTGTGCTTCCACGGCACTTTGGCTACACACGGATACCGTGGTCTGATAAAGTAGTTCAACTTAGTTCATAAATTCAGGATTCATGGAGATGTTGATTATATGACATGAGAGGGCCGCGATAACCCATACACGAGAAATATTGGACGTATTCCAAACTTTATATCTCCATTGTTAGCTCACTCAATCTTGTGTAGAATTACGGTCGTCGTTTGCTTGACTCGAGGAAACCACATGATTGTCATTAACAATAGTGAGTGGGCATGTAGCCAAATTAACCTGGTCTCTACAGAGTGTCAATGTTCTGCCCCGTTCCCAATTTGTGATGAGAGTTGATTCGAATCTTGAAGAAACCAATGAATAAATATAAAGTGACATGTGACCACTATCGAATTAGAATGAGTGTGACAAATAGTGATCATATAACTCCAATCACATAAAATATTAAATTTTCTGATTATTATCAATATATGAAGCTAGATAATTGATTAAATCATCAATATATCGCGAAGACAACATTCATTAAAATTAGTCAAGTAGTCACATTCTAACTCGCATTGTTAATTCTTAGCATATTTATCAATCATTTAACCAAAGTTTGAATGTAAGCATACGAATCATATTCAAAAACGAGTTTATTTGAATGCTGTCCAGTTATCACTAGCACGCTATATCACCAGCTATGTCCGATTTTTCAAAGTCCGCGCTGTTGACATTGCGGTCTATTTTGTTGAACCGCAGTGGAAGGCCATTGACCGGGTGTGGAGACGGCATAAATTTGATTTTCAATTTTTCGGGTTTTACTAATTCCCACCGACAGCGTCTCGTCAATTCTATTAGAAGTATTTTCATCATAACCAGTCCCATTTGCTTGCCAACACAACTGCGTGGCCCAGCACCAAATGGCACATAGTTAAAACGGTCTCCTTTCTTGTTTTCTTCTCTACCGGGCATAAATCGATCTGGGTCGAATTCGACACTTTTTGTGAAGTTTTCGGCGTTGGCTTGCGTCTCCCGTATACTGAATAGTACCATCCATCCAGCAGGAATCTGTTTACCCTGAAATAAACAACAACAATTAAACAATATTGTATACAACAGATAGGCCAAACCGTATCTCAAGCTTTCGCTATTATTATTATAGGAAATGTGTCAAAACATTGCATTCACTTAATATGTCAAAACATAGTTCAAAATCGGACTCCAGTGATAATCAATGTAGATTTCGACACATCAATTTAAAGCGCCAATCATGGCGATACCATAAAAAAAACTCTTGACTGCACGTGATTCTATTCATATAAAAAGTTTCTTAAAATATTATCATCTGGTAACTGTAATATTACTACAAATAAACTATTACTATGCTACAAATAAAATATTACTACGAATTTACTATTACTACGAATAAACTATTACTACAAATAAAATATTACTACGAATAAACTATTACTACAAATAAACTATTACGACAAACAAACTATTACTACAAATTTACTATTACAACAAATTTACTGTTACTACAAATAAACTATTACTACAAATTTAATATTACTACAAATTTACTATTACTACAAATAAACTATAACTACAAATTTACTATTACTACAAATTTACTGTTACTACAAATAAACTATTACTACAAATTTACATTACTACAAAAAATCTATTACTACAAATAAACTATTACTACAAATTTACTATTACTACAAATTTACTGTTACTACAAATAAACTATTACTACAAATTTACATTACTACAAAAAATCTATTACTACAAATAAACTATTACTACAAATTTACTATTACTACAAATAAATTATTACCACAAATTTACTATTACTACAAATTTACTATTACTACAAATAAACTATAACTACAAATTTACTATTACTACAAATTTACTATTACTACAAATAAACTATAACTACAAATTTACTATTACTACAAATTTACTATTACTACAAATAAACTATTACTACAAATTTACTATTACTACAAATAAACTATTACTATAAATTTACTATTACTACAAATAAATTATTACTACAAATTTACTATAACTACAAATAAACCATTAAAACAAATAAACTATTACTACAAACTTGTTTGAAAAGCAAAGGTTGTCTTATTAGTCCAAAGAGTGGTGTTATAGACCGGCTATTCCGGTGTCTATCTGCATCCGATTATTTGGATGTGACAGACTGGCCATTCCAGTGTCTGTCTGCACCCCATTATCTGGGTGCACCCCATAACTGCACCCCATACTCTGGGTGTGACAGACCGGCCATTCCAGTTTCTACCTGTACGCCATTATTTGGGTGTGACAGGCTGGACAATTCAGTGTCGCCCATTCCAGTGTCTGTCTGCATCCCAATTATATGGGTGTCACAGACCGACCATCCCAGTGACGGTCATTTCATTGTCGAAATGCACCACATTATCTGGGTGTGAAAGACCGGCCATTCCAGTGTTTGCCTGCACCCTTGGGTGTGACAGACCGGCCATTCCAGTGTCTGCCTGCACCCCTGGGTGTGACAGACCGGCCATTCCAGTGTCTGTCTGCATCCCAATTACCTGGGTGTGACAGACCGGCCATTCCAGTGTCTGTCTGCATCCCAATTACCTGGGTGTGACAGACCGGCCATTCCAGTGTCTGTCTGCATCCCAATTACCTGGGTGTGACAGACCGGCCATTCCAGTGTCTGCCTGCACCCCAATTACCTTGGTGTGACAGACTGCCATTCCAGTGTCTGCCTGCATCCCATTATCTGGGTGTGACAGACCGGTCATTCCAGTATCTGGGTGTGACAGACCGGCCATTCCAGTGTCTGCCTGCACCCCTGGGTGTGACAGACCGGCCATTCCAGTGTCTGCCTGCACCCCAATTACCTGGGTGTGACAGACCGGCCATTCCAGTATCTGCCTGCACCCCAATTACCTTGGTGTGACAGACGGCCATTCCAGTGTCTGCCTGCATCCCATTATCTGGGTGTGACAGACCGGTCATTCCAGTATTGGCCATTCCAGTATCTGGGTGTGACAGACCGGCCATTCCAGTGTCTGCCTGCACCCCAATTACCTGGGTGTGACAGACCGGCCATTCCAGTGTCTGCCTGCACCCCAATTACCTGGGTGTGACAGACCGGCCATTCCAGTGTCTGCCTGCACCCCAATTACCTTGGTGTGACAGACGGCCATTCCAGTGTCTGCCTGCATCCCATTATCTGGGTGTGACAGACCGGTCATTCCAGCATTGGCCATTCCAGTATCTGGGTGTGACAGACCGGCCATTCCAGTGTCTGCCTGCACCCCAATTACCTGGGTGTGACAGACCGGCCATTCCAGTGTCTGCCTGCACCCCAATTACCTGGGTGTGACAGACCGGCCATTCCAGTGTCTGCCTACACCCCAATTACCTTGGTGGGACAGACCGGCCATTCCAGTGTCTGCATGCATCCCAATTATATGGGTGTGACAGACCGGCCATTCCAGTGTCTGCCTGCATCCCAATTATATGGGTGTGACAGACCGGCCATTCCAGTGTCTGCCTGCACCCCAATTACCTTGGTGTGACAGACCGGCCATTCCAGTGTCTGCATGCATCCCAATTATATGGGTGTGACAGACCGGCCATTCCAGTGTCTGCCTGCACCCCAATTACCTGGGTGTAACAGACCGGCCATTCTAGTGTATGCCTGCACCCCAATTACCTAGGTGTGACAGACCGACCATTCCAGTGTCTGCCTGCACCCCATTTACCTGGGTGTGACAGACCGGCCATTCCAGTGTCTGCCTGCACCCCAATTACCTGGGTGTGACATACCGGCCATTCCAGTGTCTGCCTGCATCCCAATTATATGGGTGTGACAGACCGGCCATTCCAGTGTCTGCCTGCATCCCAATTATATGGGTGTGACAGAACGGCCATCCAGGTGACGGTCATTTCATTGTCAAACTGCACCCAATTATCTGGGTGTGACAGAACGGCCATTCCAGTGTCTGCCTGCACTCCAATTACCTGGGTGTGACAGACTAGCCATTCCAGTGTCTGCCTGCAACCCATTATCTGGGTGTGACAGACCGGCCATTCCAGTGTCTGCCTGCACCCCAATTACCTTGGTGTGACAGACTAGCCATTCCAGTGTCTGCCTGCATCCCAATTATCTGGGTGTGACAGACCGGCCATTCCAGTGTCTGCCTGCACCCCAATTACCTTGGTGTGACAGACTAGCCATTCCAGTGTCTGCCTGGGTGTGACAGACCGGTCATTCCAGTAATGGGACAAACAAAAGAGGGAGGATTGTGACACAACACACTACGTATGCAAAACACTTGCTCTTCATAGCGAGTTTGGCATACACAAGCAATTGTTCTGTTTTTTTGGTGTAGAAACAGAATGCCCTAGGGTACGCAGAAATCCCACAAAACACGCCTCTCGTCGGAACTTTTAAATCATGATGACAATGGTCACTGTTATAAACGCTAACAATAGATAAGGAAGCTATTGTGAGTGGAACAAATCCTAAACGGAACTAAAACATGTCTTAGCATGCCAAGACAGTGATTAATACGCCTTGTGAATGAGCTGAACCAGGGTACTGACAAACATCCAAACGGGTCTATAACTTGAAAGATGACAGGTTGTATTGAATCGAGCGACGCGCTGGAATCAATTGTGGCTAAAACCACAAAGACTGGTACTAACTAGTGTAAGACTAGACTGGCGGCCAATGAATAGCCTTGTATCTACGTAATACTAGTACTTGTTGACATGACAACCGAGGTATGAGATCTATGCTGACGTTATATGTTCTTCTGTATGTACTTTGAATATTGTCTCAACTTTTACCGAATATTTGATTTTACACAAAATTATATATACGGAATGTAACATTACATAAAACGAATACTTACCTCAAGCTCAAATGTCTTGAGTACCTTCCGAAACCCGGCCCCAACAGGAGGCGATACTCTGAGTACTTCTTTAACGACACATGATGTATATGTCAATATTGATAATGTCCCGAATGTGAGAGGAGCCTCTTCATCCAATAAGTTATGTTGCTCAAGTTCCATTCTCACTCTCTCGACAACATCAGGGTGTTTGGCAAGGTGGATCAGCATCATCACTATGGCCGATGACGGGCTCACGTGACCCAATAATATGAGTTCGAGAGCAAGTTCTTTCAACTGTTTCAGGTCGATTGTATTGCCGTGTTCATCTTTTTCTTGTGCAAGTATTCGAAGAACATCGACACAGTCTTCATCTTGACCACAGTTAGAGTTTCTCTTTTTGTGCAGACTAGCTTCAATTTTAGCATACATGATATTACGTGCGCGGATAACCTAAAAAAGACAATCCAGAGTAAAGAACAGTTCAGGTTTTTGAAAATTGTCTGTAATGTTTTCGAGGCGGCTTGTTCAAACATGCGCACTGATGACAGTCAAGGGTACCTGGTATAATCACACAGAAGCAGCCAAAGCTGAACCTGCTTTTATTTGTTTTCTCGCGCCAATTTTGAAAAAAATTGTTACCTACCTTATTGAAAGGACTGCCGGGAATGTTTATGGGCAAGGTAAACATATTTTCTTCGATTTCACGGCATATATTAGCGGCATGTTGAAGTTCTGTTGGGTCTTCATAATTAAAGTCACATATCAGTTTACCAGACATTCTGAATACCAGTATAAGTATCTCGTCCCAGCCATCGACTTGTCCTCGCTCACTCCAGTTTTGTACAGCTTCTCTGGCGTACCGTTGAATATACGGTATGTATTTGGACATGCTGTTAATATGGAATGCTTTAGCTGCTAGTTTTCGAAGGCGTGTGTGCGCCTGCCCCTGGGATGTGGCAATAGAACGGTTGCCAAGAAGACCACGGATGGTTGCTGGTTGATGCGACACCACGATGTCGCCCTCTCCTTGCAGTATTTTACGAATGTTCTCTGCTCCTATGACTCTAACGGAAGGCATACCCAGAACATGTGTCTTAAACACTCTTCCATGTTTCTTTAATTTCGTGTGATAGAATTCAGCACCCTGTGAAAACAGTGCGAATCTCAGTCAATTTTTCATATTAAAATTATATTTTATATTTTAAAATTTAAACCAAAATAGAAATATCACATCCTTTTTTATACTATATGGTAAACATGTCGGCGTTTCTGATGTTTTAAGGTGAACCGTCTTGGCCTTACCTATACGTAATTGAAACAGTATCAAACGTATAACACGGATTAGAAAAAGATTAAGTAATTAGAAAACTATAGCATGGCACATTCAAACGTAAAATGATGTTAAAAGATCCTATACACGCCTACACACAATAAGTGATAGTCAATACAATATTTCCCCTAATGTGCTCACATTGACAAATTGTACAAATAAATGGATAAAATTAGACAAAATAAATGATCCAATAATTATTTTACAAGTAATTATTTAACACAATAATCGTATTGTGTTGCGAACTATCGGGTTATCTCACTCTACCTGGAATACAAGTTGTAGTGTTTCTCCGAAGAATGGAATCCCCATACTGCCTTCAGGTAAGGGTGCCTTGCAGTTGGGATCTTTGGATCGTATGTTGTAAACAGTCCATAGTTTACAAATCAGTATCAGTAGAACACATGGTAACAGCAGCGGTAGAGCTGGTGATAATACCGACCCTAATATCACCTGCATCTTGGGATCTATGAAATATCTTCTCGAATGCTACAGTGGTGATATTTATTGAAATACTACTGCATGGAACTGTGTTCGATATAAGTGTGATTTCACTGCAATTCCTTCTTATATATACTCTGTGTTTGTTGTTGATTTGCATAAGTTCATACCCAGTTCAAACGGAATGCCTCGCATGGATATACTACAATGCCCCGAATCAGAGCATCTCTTTCCGAAGCCCCGCCCCAACAAAAATAACTATTTGTTCCGCTCAACTGGCCAACAGTCACATTTTACAGCACAAACTTTGTAGGCTGCTTAGTTTTGGTGAGAAGCCAAGGGGTTCGAACATTTGATAAACAACATACAATAGCAGCAAACAATACTCGGGTATAACTCTGTTCAGGGAGCACAATAGGCAAATAAAAAAAAATCTACTCAGACCATTGACAAAATACAATACCTTCCGGAAGTGGAGCATCCAGGTGGAATTAATGACAAAAGATTCTTGAGTTGGTATTGTTCTGTTCATTGCTGCAGGTCACCATGCTACGTTAGCCCGTACTTTATGTTTGACACGATTTAGCTAGAGCACGTGCGTATATGGAGCAGAGTAATAGTACAGCCGTACTTTGACCACCAATTACACACTGCAAATACACCTCATTATGTCACCAGTCCATCAATATAACCCCATGTATGTCTTACGTACCCCAGGAATTCTACATTAAACCGCTACAACTATTTCACCTTGAACGTATTGCCAAATAGCATTGCATAAAAGGCAATGTCGTCTACGTTCTATTGATGATTAGCTAAGCGAAACACATTAGTTTTGTCTTTTCATTGTACTTTTATTTACTTAAACCAATTTTGTACTCTTGGAGGACTGCATAAAGCGAGTACTGCCATTAAGTAGACAGCCACGATGTCTACAACGTTCAACAATTCAGACCACGTTTGTATATATTAATGTAAAAACAAATTATATGTTAAGTAAAAAGTACGTATTGTTGCCATACGAACATTAATAAAGAAATAATACACACCATACTAATACGTACTAAATTAAAAATGATATGTCATACGAGCTCGATTGGTAAACATGCACACGACCGAAAAGTCTGCCTTTTGCGAAACGCGTACCCAAAATGCTCGGGTTGTAGATTGTGTCCGAAGCTTCCGCCACCAAATCGGGGACTGATGAATTGACCTAAGTGCGTCCGTGCGTGCGTCCGTGCGCCCGGACCTATATCTGAAACCCCAGACAACGATCGAATTAAAGATGTCAGAATGGCGGCCATTTTTCTGATCGAAATCATCGAATTATCGAAATCAAGCATTTCATGCTGGCTGTTCATGAACAGATTTTATTCAAATAAATTATATATATATATATATATTAATTATACATCCTGTCATAGAGATACAGATACATTGGTTTGACGATCCGATCTAAAATGTGCTAAAAAATCAATAAAAATCAAACAATTATGGCTTACCGGACCCGGATCTCGGTCGTTTATGGATGCATTTTTTCAAACTTGATACATACATTAGCCATTATGGGTCCATTTTGTCTTTCAGATCGAATTCAAAATGGCTGATGTATAATGGATATATACAATTTGATGTAATGATGTATTGGTTTGACGATCTGATTAAAAAAAACCGGCCGGTGGCCATTTTATTTTAATTAATGCTGTTCCGAAGCAATATCTCTCAATATGGACAAATACTCGTTTTACGATCAGATGAGTGAATGTAATTTTAATTTTAAAAAATCATCACAATCAAGCATCAATTTCTGGATCTATATATCCCCGAAATCTTTATGTTTAAAATATATTACTATAAACAAAACTGTATATCTTAAATTTGATAACTGATAAATTATAAGGGGACTGTTCCATGTACGTCTAATTAGCCAGGTTTGTAATGAATAATTTATAATAGTTGTATATAGTGATTATGTATTGTATTGTTTGTTCTAAGACGCGTTGAGACCCAAATAACGAACAAGTGATTGACAATGTAAACATCCAATCAGCAATGGCCAAACCACTGGTGGTATTTCTTTTGTGTCAGATGAAAGCAAATAAGTTTTATTGAAATTTAATTTGTATTAGAGCACACACCAAACGTGTAAAATGGAGGCAAGGTCGTTTGTAACTAGGGGAATTTTACATTGCTTCGTTCCAGCAACCTTGGAACAACCAATGTTGATATATCCATGGTGTGATTCTGTTAAAACGGGACAAGGCCAGACATGTTTTAACGAACCCATGTCTTAGTGCAATGGTGTTTTGATTACGCACGTTGATGTACAGTAAATGGAGCGTGTCTTAATGGAAAACAAAATACAAATATAGGTGTAAGCAACAATGATCGACTTCCAACTGTCAGGTTGTTTCTAAACAATTTAAACTCGTCTGTAAAGCACGATTTTTTCATAAACATAAGATTTTAAGTAGATACCCACATTTAGTGCAATGCATAATTTATTGTTAAATGTGATTGACAATAAAGTTGTCAGCAAATCGACTGTTCCTGCTATGAGCTGTATTGAATAGGAACTTATACACAAATATAGGATGTTATAGTAACTATGTCAAGAAAAAGTTGTTTCATATGCCAAATCATTTTCAAATTGTTTTATTCTTCCAATACTAGCAAAGTGAATTTCCATATAAATGAGACAGTTCTTCAATATAACAATATACCAGAAATAATAGGTCATTGCACTTGTCTGTGTATATATTAAAACAATAAAAGCATCTTAATAAGATAACATTAAATTATCAATTCATATAGTCTATGGTTTGTATATGAAATAACAAAAGAGTACAACAATGCCTTTATCATCTATAATGACCTATCTACAGTATATGCAGCATGTGTGTATGGTTTGTTTATGAAATAAGAGAGAACAACAATGCCTTTATTATCGATAATGACCTATCAGTTTGACATGATGATGTATCAGTAGGACATGGTGGTGTATCAGTAGGACATGGTGGTGTATCAGTAGGACATGGTGATGTATCAGTGAGACATGGTGATGTATCAGTAAGACATGGTGATGTATTAGTAGAACATGGTGTTGTATCAGTAGGACATGGTGATGTATCAGTGGGACATGGTGATGTATCAGTGGGACATGATGATGTATCAGTAGGACATGGTGATGTATCAGTAGGACATTGTGATGTATCAGTAAGACATGGTTATGTATCAGTAGGACATGGTGATATATCAGTGGGACATGGTGATGTATCAGTGGGACATGGTGATGTATAGGTAATACTTGGTGATGTATCAGTGAGACATGGTGATGTATCAGTAAGACACGGTGATGTATTAGTAGGACATGGTGGTGTATCAGTAGGACATGGTGATGTGTCAGTGGGACATGGTGATGTATCAGTGGGACATGATGATGTATCAGTAGGACATGGTGATGTATCAGTGGGACATGGTGATGTATCAGTAAGACATGGTTATGTATTAGTAGGACATGGTGGTGTATCAGTAAGACATGGTGATGTATCAGTAGGACATGGTGATATATCAGTAGGACATGGTGATGTATCAGTAGGACATGGTGATATATCAGTAGGACATGGTGATGTATCAGTAAGACATATTGATGTATCAGTAGGACATAGTGATGTATCAGTGGGACATGGTGATGTATCAGTGAGACATGGTGATGTATAGGTAAGACTTGGTGATGTATCAGTAAAACATGGTGATGTATCAGTAGAACATGGTGATGTATCAGTAGGA